AATGTGTATGAATCTGGAACAGTAGATTTATGTACAGATTTGTGCATTATTTACTCTATATACAGTTGTATAAATAAAGAGATATGCGTATGTATTTACATAATACTTGAGAAAGAGGCAATAATTAAGGATGTAGAATGAATTACGGAAATGAATTACAGAACGCAGGTAATGATTCATATGTTAGCGGTTTAAGCTGGAGATGGCATGGGGGAAAAAACTGATTTTATGCCTAGGTGTTCTAGTGCACAGAGATCTGTAGCGTCTGCCTGAGGGGAGAAGTGTAAACAGGTTGTGTCCGGGGTGAGAGGGGTCTTTGATGATGTTTCCTGCCCGTTTCTTCACTCTGGAGTTGTACAAGTCCTGAAGACTGGGCAGGTGCACACCAATGATTCTTTCTGCTGTCCTAACAGTCCGTTGCAGTCTTCTTAAATCTGATTTGCTGGCTGACCCAAACCAGACAGTTATAGAAGAGCACAGAACCGACTCAATAATAGCTGAGTAAAACTGTGTCATCTTCACGCCCTTTGTTTCACATCATCATCATCTTGTTCAATGTCCCATTGATGCACATGTCTTTATGAAATATTTACAGTGTTGAGAGTGTGCTTATATATTATTATCAGATCCCAGATGTACTTAACAACTCTATACAGTCTGTGTGGCCTTGTCTGTTTCACAGCCGAAGTCATTTGCATAATCACCATGGCCTCAGCAGTGAGTACGGCAATAACATGTCACGACATTAACATTACTCTCCGCTCTGGAAAGATAAAGTCAAATCCATCATTACAGCGGCTATCAGCATGTCCCCACTGTCTACCTGTCTCCCACATTAATTCGGTCTCACCTTCACTGACAGGGCATCGTCACTCCTATCTACCAGCGAATGAATGTGAAATATTGCTCCTGCAGGGTGGCCTGTTGCTCTCATGGGTGTTTATTCGGGTGTTTATTGAGCGGTGCGTGTAGGCATGACTGCCCTTGCGAATAACAGCACCATTGGGTTTGCTCAAGCGGCACGGTGATGTGTCCATGACCAAAAAACTCTCTCCCTTTTCTGCAGTCATCTCCTCAAATGGATTAATCTTTGTGGCATGCAACAGGATACGGAACGGTGCGCTACACTGGGGGCTGGTGCTGGGTTTTATCAGTGCAGGTAAGGTGAGGTAGGTTCAGGTACGTTATAGAGCTTTTTTACAGTGCCTAGGTAAGTGTTCACCAGCCGGAGCTGCACTATGGATCTAATCTACACCTTTAAACTCCCATACATTTTTGGATTGATGGACAAACTTGTGCACCATCAGGGTGGCGACCAGCCTAAACACCTCAAAAACAGCTTTGAAAAACATTTCTGGCTGTTTGTCAGGGTTAAATGTGACTTCCCCTGAAAGCTGAGAGGTGGGTGCTTGGCATGAAATGCCGGGAAAAAGGTCAAAACGATGTAAACTTGACATGAAAGGTGTTCCCAACTTATCTTAGGTCCGTAAACTGACTTACAAATAATGTGATATCAAAGTAAAACAAGATATTAAAGTAGAAAAAACATGGGCATTCCATACTGGAGTTGCAATTGGTTAAAATTGTTTCTAAATAACTGTTTGGTTACTGGTTAATCAGCCAAAAATTAAAATCTGTTCTTTTATTACAGATTACAAAGTGCACAAGACTAGTAGGAAAGCAAATGGGGTACATTTTGATTTCATGTTGAATCCAAACTTTTTCTAATTCTTGCATAATTATTATGCATGAATAATTACTAATATGATCTAATATCAATTTAGAGACTATATAAATGTACTTTTAAGAATTAATTTATATTATAAATTCATATATTGTAGGACCATTTGGATGCAAAAAGCTAGAAGGTGATCAAGGTGGCATAAACAAAAACCTAAAATAATGCTTTTCCCTTATACAGTCACATGACTTTTGATCTAAAAATGCTCCTGGACATGTTATTTGTCAACTGCCCAGCTGTATTTAAGTCAAGTCAAGTCACCTTTATTTATATAGCGCTTTTAACAATACAGATTGTGTCAAAGCAACTGAACAGCATTTTCAGTATTTACTGACAAGGCCAGTGGTTTGGCTTTGCAGCCTTATGCAGGCACAACACACTCACTCCGTTCCAAAACCTACCGAGCTGCCTAAGGAGTCAGCATTTTAAGGCGTCATAGGTGCGAAAAAGTGGCTAATTTTAGCCAAAGGCAGCATCGCATTTATCCTTCACAGAGAAGACAATCCCAGGATGAATTGCAATTGCATTATATTTGAAAGGAACTGCTAAAAAAAGTGTAATTTCATCCAATATTTGAGTTCAGAATCATTTCCATGTATTTTTAATCTTTGCGCCATTATCTTAGCAACAACTACTGTAATCAATTACGTCAAATCTCCTATGTGGACCACTTTTGTGAAACACAGAGTTGCTGCCTAAGAAGAGCGTTTTCTAAATCAAACACTTCAGTGCTGCCTATGTAGGCAGCTCACTAGGATTTGGATTACTGCGTCAAAATTTCATCCTTATTTCCCAAGCCGCAACCACAGATGGTGACTAAAAGTTTGGTTTCGTGATTACAGCTGACAGTCGACTCTAAACTTTTACCCAGAAGCTACATCTCTAATGGAACCGTTCCATCTTTCACAAAACCCCTGAAACTGACACCATTCATCTCACAGCTGGAAGTCTAGAAAAGAGATGCCCTTTCCAACACCATGTCTCTGTCTGCATCCCTTCGGCGAGACTAAATGAGGTCAAATGTAGCCCCTCTTGAAGGAAAAGATATCTGCATCTTTTTCCAAAGAAACGCCTGAGCCTGCACCTGTAGAATTACACAGAATGATGAAGAATTGGGATAATTTACATCACTCAGTCCTGAATTTGACTGCGCTGTATTTGACTCCAAGGCCCATTTAATGCTTTTTGCTACGTTAAAACCCATTCCACAGATTTCACCCTTGAATCAGCACAGAAGAAAGCCTGTATATTCCTTCTGAGCTGACCCTTGAGCATGAAATAACTACTTCTACACCATTTTTAAGGATGAAAGAAATAATTGATGGC